AAGGAGGGGGCTTTGTAGAAAACGAAGCGTTTGAGAGAGGCGGGGCATATAGGACCTACAATAATGTACAGTATTTGAAAAATAATGTGTTTTTTGAACATTAAAGCATGTCAACATATTCTGTTACACCAAATACACAAAATAATGATCTTTAAAAAAGCATCATATGACCCCTTTAAAGTATATATAAAATAAATTCTTAAATTATTATTTTATTATTTTTTTTTATTATATTAAAACAGTTACTTTCCATTTTAAGTATTCAAATATCTCATAATATTACCATTTTGCTGTATTTTTGATCAAATAAGTACAGCCTCTTTGAGCATAAGAGACCCCAAACTTACAAAAAACTAGTAAATTTTAGAAGTGAACTTTTTAAATTTATTTATTGCACAAAGTCTGCATTGAAACTCAAAGTTATGGTCAACTCAAGTTTTATAAATTTTTGTCTTTGTTCTTAGGTCTGTTGTGGAATGTCACAACTTCCTTAAGCGATCCAGCACTTTACCCTCAGCTTAATCACCTGACTGCATTCCTGCTGTCTGATTGGATCATCTTTTGAGGTAAGAACCTATGGCAAGAAGTTTGTTGAACTGATCAAAGTCACTTGAACGGTTTGTTCCGTTTTCTCCTCACGTCCTGCTCTTTTGTTGAAATTTGCTTGGTGAAGTAGGGGAATAATCGACAATTATGATTTTTGTCATAATCGTGCAGCCCTAATTGATCATGACAAAAAATGTTTAGCCTATTGAGCAAACCAAATCAGACAAAATCACCACATTAGAATTATTTCTGAAGGATCATGTGACTCTTAAAAGGTCATGAAACCCCCTGTTTCAGCACTGGTTAGTTCTCACAACAGTTAAAAAAAAAACGCTAAAAAAGTGGGCGTGGTGCGCAACGGAGTGGAGGGGGAAGAGGGGAGGCAGACAACACACACGGCTTCGGGTTCAGACAGTTTCATTTCGCTCCCATCGAGTTAAAAACACAAATAAATGCACAGCCATTTGCACTCTGTATCGAAAACATTTATATGAATGCGCTGTTGCAGCTATGATAACTCTTTAAGGCTTATTCTGCGGCGTTTATATAAGCCTTTTGACGGGTTGTGTCACGGAGCTGTAAAAACGGTTAGGCTACACTAAGTGAATGAATCGCGTTTGTACCAAACTCTTAATACAAAGCAAAAACAAACACTCTCCTTCGATCCATGAACGTTTCTCTCAGTTAATGTGCGCGATGTCATCTCACAGTGAAGCGTCTGTCATAGCAAATCAACACATGCTGTTGTGAATAATTAAGCGAAGCGTCTTCTCATAGGACAAGAACAATCAGTCTCATGAATAATTTAATAGACACCAACGCGTCATCGATGTACTATCGTCCTTTGCCACGTCACAAATTGTGACGTCAATATGATATATATTTTAAACCCGGAAGATAAAAATAGCGCAAAAAAGCTTCAAATTAACCAGTTTTCTCCAACAGTTAAAATTATCGGGTGCTAACATTGTCTTCTATGATGTGCAACACAAACACCTCTGTTAAAATCTCAGAAAAAGTAGTCTGGAGTTTCATGACCCTTTTAGACTGGTAGACTGGTAAATCTTCTTAACATTGCAATCATAGGAATAAATTTCAATTTAAAGGGGTCATATGATGCGATTTCAAGTTTTCCTTTCTCTTTGGAGTGTTACAAGCTGATTGTGCATAGATAAGATCCCTGAAATTGCAATGACTAAAGTCTCAAAACCAAAGAGATATTCTTTATCAAAGTTAAGACTCTGCCACGCCCCCCTAAAACGGCTCGTTCTAACACGCCCCACATATCTACCTCACTATGTGGAAATATTAGCATAATGCACCCAAATGTTCACGCAAAGAAAGAAGGCGTGGTTTCAGTAACCGCAGTTAGTGTTGAAGCAGCCATGTCAGGGAGACGCTGTGTGTTTCTAGACGAAAGCAAAAGCACTTTATTTGGCCTTCAGAAAGTAGATGCATTTAGGAATCTTTAAGATCACTTACAACAGAACAGCAATGCATTTTATGGACGACCGTTTCGTGAACCTAGGAGAGGAGGTAATTCTGACTTTGCTATGACAATCTGGCGCTTCTGAACCAGCTACTGTAAGTATGTTTTGTTATTAGTTTAAGTATTTGCTATTGACTGTTCAAATGCGGAGTTTTGCGCAGCGCAGAGTAACGCGGTGTGTGTGTGTGAGGGGAACACGTTCACATCACAGGAGAGTGAACTGCCTGTCAGAAATCATAGCACGTCAGCTGTCTTAACCGCGGCTTGTGTACTGCATCATCACTGTGTCTGTCACGCGACTCTGTTCCCCTTTCGGGCTCTGTCTTTACATTTATTTTGAAAGATGAAGCTCGCGATTATGGTAAGGGGCGTTACATTTCCGACGAGTGCTTGCGGTGTTCGGCCAATCACAATGCACTGGGTCAGCTGGCCAATCAGAGCAGACTGCGCTTGTCGGAAGGAGGGACTTTGTAGAAAACAAAGCGTTTGAGAGAGGCGGGGCATAGAGGACCTACAATAATGTACAGTATTTGAAAAATAATGTGTTTTTTGAACATTAAAGCATGTCAACATATTCTGTTACACCAAATACACAAAATAATGATCTTTAAAAAAAGCACCATATGACCCCTTTAACACAACACAACGGAGAACAAGCGTCAACACAACAGAAACAAGCTGCAACACAAAGAAATTAGCACAAGACAAACAGAAAACAAGCGTCAACACAATGGAAACAAGCAGCAACACAATGAAATTAGTCCTATGCGTTGTAGAGATTTCGTTGTGTTGTGCACTACTATCCCACCGTAAGAATTGGATTCGGATCAAGTAATTGAAGTGTAAAAAAATATTTTTTTGAATGATTTCTTGAAATAAAATACAAGAGTAGAGGTTGGTTTTCATATCATTTACAGTAATTACTTTCAATCTTGTACAGACATGTACATAGGAGCTCATGACAGAAGAGCTTTAGGTTTTGAATAACTGTGTGTATATGATATATCCAAAAATATAATATTATGGAAAAGGTTTGCAACGTGAGACAAATGTTTGCTTTTGAGATGAGTTTGTGATATTTTGAATGCATTGCTTCATTTTGCAAGAGATGTGAGGCATTTTGTATTTTGTGTGTGCAATTCTTGGATTTGTGTGTAAAGTTTTGAAAAAAAGAGGCAAAGTTTTGAAAATGTAAGTAGTTGAAAAATAAACTATAAAACATTCCGTTTTCTCCTCACGTCCTGCTCTTTTGTTGAAATTTGCTTGGTGAAGTAGAGTTGAGCCCCTCTGAAGGACAATGACTTGATTTGACAGAAAATTGAAATATCATCCAACTTCATTATTTTGGCTGGACTATTCACCCGAGGCCATCGCATGGGGGACAACGTCTGTCAATTTTTAGAAGAATACAAATATAATTTAAAAGAAACATCTGACAGTCTGTCAGACAATCTGTTTAAATCAAGTCTCACGGCGAGCAGGCGACAAACGATAGAAAAGTATCACAGTTGGAGAGGGTAAAAGGGAGGTGGGCAGATTTTCAAACACTTCAGAAAAGAGAAACAAGCAGACGACAGAATCGGAGAGAGATCACTTAAGAGAAGACAAAACAGATGAGACAGGAGACTTGACATGAAGAGTGGGAAAAAATCTGCTGGAAACACACATGCATCACAGCGCACCTGTGCAAGGCCCTTTTACTCATGCCCCCTGTCTGCCCAGATATCCCTTAGAGATCAAGACACATCCCACAACGCTGGACGCAGGGCTGGTGGTGACAGGCTCTGTTGGCCGGCTGCAGGGAGCAGATGGCTGGCCAGATGCAGGGTTGCGTTTGACCTTGGGCCCCGTGGAAGGCTAAACATCATAGGCGTCCTCCGGTGCTTCCACCTTTCTACCGCTCCATGGAGCCGCTGCTTCGCTCTGACAGCTTATGGTTGTTTTATTTAGATGAGCCATATGGAGCCATTATGTGCTCCATCGTTTAGCTGCTATCGCTATTCCCAGTGTAGTTTATCACCCTATGTGTATTCGAACAAAGACGAGTTCAAGTCCCCCAGACTGTCCATGACAATGGAGATACGCCATAAGATATGACTAATCACATTCAGCTCTGTGCTCGGACAGAAAGGGGTGGCAGAATTATAATTGGGGTCAGCTGATGCAGACTCGATGGAAGGGATCTTTAGCAAGTCTGCAATGCTAAGATTTATTAGCACGTATGCCAGCTTCAGCTGCCGTGCATTATTTTACCCAGAATTCTGCTGCATACCATGTGGGTTTAGAAAGATGCGAGGGAATGGGGATTGTTTTTTCTCTCTCGATTTAAAAGTGTGTGGAAATTTGGGTTTGCATGGCTACATGATTAATCGAAAATAATCACAATTACTATTATGGGTGCCGTTAATTGTGTGAAGTACTGTTTACAGCATTTTTTTCCCCACTGTATCCTATCCTACACTTATCCTACATTAGGATGCACAATATTATAATCTCAATTTTCCAATACTGATAAGCCACTAATTTATAAGATGATAACTGATACATATCCAATATTAAAATTCTATACTATTTTATGTCTATTTTATTTTATAAGAATAAAACACTAAATCAGTCATTTTAAATGATACTAGTGAATTATTCACAATGTTATAATGTACAGTTTAAAAATGGATATTCATTTTGAGATTTGAGTGCTTTTTGAATGCTTCTAAAGATTAATTTTAAGTAAGAGTTATATGACAGCAAAGGTTATACAAGTTATTGATATATATCAAATATAGGCATTTATATTTCCAATATCATCTTATAACTGATTTTATCAATGTGCCTTGCATCACTAGTAGCTCTATTAACTATGGTATTTTGGCAAAAACTATGGTTTCCCTGGTAAATTGTTGTGAGGCTGCACAAAATAATTACTATATTTAATATATTTAACTACAAGTCCGCATTAATTATCACAATTACAATGTCAAGAGAAATAATCGACAGTAATCAGTTCTAATCTTGTCTTAGCCATCATATCATCTAATTCATTGAGTTATACTTCTTTATTCTCTCACTAAGGTCATTGTAGTGTTTCCTTCAGGGAGCGTCTGTTTCCTAATGGCTTGATGGCTTTTAGCACACTGTTACCAAGTGCAATGTCTACTGATTTATTTATTTATTTGTTTTTTCATGTAAACGCTTGTGGTCACAGATATGTGCCCTGCTAATGGTTCCTAGTACCCAGTCTCTTTCAGTCTCTCAGTTTTCTTCAATAACTCATAGCACCATTCATTCAGATTTTCAACTTCATTTTACAATAGGGAGTGACGTTGACACCGTAAGAGATGCTGATAGATGTTCTTGGATCTCAGTACAGACGTTGAGCCCACGTTGTGCTCTTCCACTTTTGAATCTTCATTCAAGTTCATCAAAGTACAATTTACTTTCCAATCTTAAAAGATAGCTGATCAAACACTTCGTGATACAAAAGACAGAAGTGAGCTTATTTTCTTCATTTTTTTGAGTTTTAGAA